AGGTTTTTCTTGGGTCGGTGAATTCATTCACCAAACTTAGGAAGTCCTTGCACGTCCAACTGTGCTCCCTAACTTTTTTGAAAAGGTGCCGTGACCATCAAGTGGTACCAAAATTCCTCCGTCTGAGGAATCCTGTTCCCTCGAAGCAGGCAAATGCCATCCTTCGCCAAGCTTCGCTGAGACTGGTCAAGGAGAGAATAACAGCAGCTAAGAAGAACCTGGCCCATCTCTCCAAACAACTCCTCGATCTTCACCTGCTTCTGGCTCAGCAGTTGGAACCTCAGCTGTGGGAGACTCTTGATCGTGTTACCAATGAACAAGCAGTCCGAACAGCTGAGATGAGAACTGAGAGTCAGAGGGGTAAGTTCAGGAAGTTGATCCCCCAGGAGAAAGTCCCGACCCTCACTCACACTGTGAAGAATCTGAGCACATATGAGCTTAGTGAAGCACAAGTATCTGTGTTGGCAAAAGGACACAACTTCGCTGTTGCCCCCAAAAAGATCCCCACCGAGGAAATCATCAGTCGCACCGAGACAGCGATTTACCATCTTCCTCAGGAGACCAGCAACGAGATCCGGAGAAAGTTGTCCAACATCCTCCACAAGGCCACCCCCCCTAGTGACAATATCACCAGGGAGGAACGCCTTGCACTGCGTATTCTAAAGGAAAATAATTATTTTCTACATATTTCAAACTTAATGTACTCATTATTTGATTGACTAGCCACTGAACTGCTTTATGAGTCAATCAATCACGTGTTAGTCTTGGTGTTGTTTGTTTCCAAATGCAAAACTTGGCTGTGTATTCCTTGAATTATCTTTATTCTACAAATTTTTGCCAATAAACAACGAACAGGAGCAGCTTGCATAAATAATTGCTTCAACTCATTATCAACAGTGTGTGTAATTGACTCATCGTTGTAAACGCAGCTCATAATATCAAATTTATTCTCAGACAAGTCTTACACAGTCGCATGTCAATTTTGAAAATGTAGAAAACCCGCCTGTGCTTGTGTCCATTGTGTAAGAACGCTCCGTGGCCAGATGAAATGTGGCCAGTTCGTAGACAGCGGGAATTATCGATGACCCATTTAACCTCATGTATAAGCAGCAACTTTAAAAATCATTTTTGTTGTTGCCCTGCTTCCGGGGTTTCTCAAATTTTGCAAACGGTGTCTAAATGGATTCAATAATGTGTTGAGTATCATTGATGCATTAGCCCGAAAAATTACGGAAGGCCCCTTTACTAGGGGTTGTAAGTCCCAGCTATGCCGATCTTGCAGCTCGCCAAGGAATCTCCAACGACTAATACGGGAACGTAAACCGACTCAGCATAAATGGGAAAACTGTGGTTCAAGGGTTTTTAATAAAGAACACTAATTCACAAACACCTTAAATTTAATGACACAAAAAAATAACTGTTCTTTTATAGCACAAATAATGTCTCGAATTATTAGCAATTGAATAAAGAAAAGTCTAAATCGTCTATTCATTGAAGAACAATATTACACTGAACTATGAAGCAATAATACTGTACTTCACATAATATAAATCTTTAATTTGGAAAAAATAGCGCGGATATGCAGAGAGGCTCAGTGAGAAAGAAGTCTTCACTGTCCGTTGTCGGGGAGGTAACTGTCTGTATGTTTTAATAAATTCCAAGCCCTCTTCTCAAAATTGGAAGGGACGAGAATTCTTACTGGCTAACTTATCTTTGCTAGCATTAAAATTATAGGTTGAGAGAAGTGGGAAGGCGTTAACAAAAATGACCGTCTTCAAGGAGGTTGAGTATTCCCAAAATTTTGGAATACCCTTTTTTCTGCTTGGAAAAAACCGTATCCTTGTGCTGGACATGTGCTCTGCATACTGTGGGAAAAGGAGTTTGCAGCCTTCCGACTTTCTTTTGAACTTAAAATTTATGATTTGACCGTAATAAAGTAGTTTTCCTCAAATTCTCCATTGAAAAGCGCGTCCTTATCACAAATTTGCGTCTCAATAGTACCACTTAGAAATCAGAATTTCAACATCTTTATGATAACTATTCTCGAGTTATTAGCATAGTTCTGGACATACGCACACACATTTCTGAAAAACATCATTTCTTCATGTTTTATGACATTGTTAGGCATTTTCACCCAACAACGGGAATCAAAAAATGACAGTTACATAGTTTCCATTCGGAAGAAAAGAAATTTCTGTAGAAAATATCTCAATAGAAAAAAAAGTGCGATAAAATCAAATTATATAATTTCTTTCTGTAGAATATTTTGCGTTGGAAATTTCTATTGAAAAAAATGCTAAATTTTTCAATCGAATCAGCCAAAAACTAATAAAAAAATTCTATAGAAGTCGAATATTCTAGCGAATTTACTATGAAATTATTTCATATGTGAAGCTACTGACTAGCCACTATAGTTTTGGGTCTAAATGAACGCAATAATAATAGCAACAAATTGTTGTTTCAGGTATCAATGTTGGGAGCTTTCTCCATGGATCTGACAAACGCTTACGCGGAGAAGATTACATGTTCTTACCTCAACATCAGAGCAAAATCAGGTCTCAAGTGGGACTATCCAAATCACTATCAAGAGATTCTCAATATAATAAAAAAATCTGCCTCGAAATTTGAGTATCACGAAGTTGAAGGCAGTCACCACGTGCACTTAAACAACCCCGAACTCGTCGCTCCGATAATTCAAAATTTCCTAGAATCACTTCCAAAATCGATAAATTGATGGATCGATCCCTTGAGCATCATTCCATCTAGTAAATAATTTATTAATAGACATTAAATTATTCTTGGATAAAACTGAATGAATAAATTAAGGAAATACTAATAGAATGAATTAGAGAAATTGAAAAATCTTCTAACAAAACATTAATTATTACGAAATAATGTAAAATAGATAATACAGTTTCTCAGTAGGTGTAGTAACTGATCACTTGGCTACATTTTTTGGTATTTTTGTCATTTTTTTTTCAAATTTATCAATGGATTTATTATCAACCTCGAAATGAACGGTCTTCATACGTTCATCCCCAGTCGGAATCATGTGCTTGATATCCCCAAAAACTTGCCAAAGTAAATAATAAAACCTCATAAGTGCACCAAACTGCCTCTTCAGTGTTTTGTTATGAAATGATCTAGCCATCTACCTGGAGTTCCATCACTGACATTTCACAATCTAAATGACAAATTAATTTCAAAATGATTGATATCACACCTTCAACCATTAACATAATGCTCAGAATAGTGAAAAACCCATCACAATTTCTTTTTTATACATAAATATGATGATCAAAAACGGTCAGCCGAATTCTAACCTAAGGTGTCTTATACGAAGCCTCCTACTGTATATATATCAACGGGCAAACTATGGAAAATGAGATGCTGATTCTCTTGAAATAAACATGATAGGGAAAATTATAGGAAGAACGCGATGCCTTTGATAAGAAAGTGAAATGTGAAAATCTCCTATTTGCCAAAAATATAAAACAGAAGATTTTATGCGAATCTTGAATTCCGGCATACCTATAAATAGAAACTGATGGACAAGGCAAAACGTTGATCAGAAGCTGCCTCCAAGACCAATTTGTTCTAAAATCATATTTTTATCAATCATTTAATATTTGAAACTGAAATTTTGATTGCTAATTGTAAATGAATATCCACATTTCTCGTTGAAAAAAGCTTGATTGCGGTCTGATTGAGCTTTATCATTTTTATTCATGTTTTATTGAAGCTACCTGGGCTCAGCTGATGAGAAAATATTATTCGATGTATCATCTACCTTAAGAAGCGGAAGATAGTTTCAAGGGATTCAATTTTTCTTCTTTATATTTTTTTTATTTCATAAACAATCAAAAAGTACATTTCCATTCGCTCTCGCACAAATTTAAACATATTCATCGGTTTAAAAAATTCATAGAGGATAAGACAAAATTGTTCGTCATTATAGCTATTTATCTCGTTTGTCTAAGTTGATAAAGAAAATATAAGTACATGAGTGGCCTCCTGAAACTGAAAATTATGACTTGTCGCGCCTGTCTATGGGTCTTACGCAATAAGGTGTGACCTAGAAAACGGAATAATGGAAATATCACCGAGCACTGTTGGTTTTATGCCATTCATTTCCGTAAAACGACGAAAACTCCTGTTGTTTTCCAGATTATTGACTTATCCGACAAAACTATTGGAAATACGTAAAAATGATGACTTTTTTGTAGGCTGAAAATTTTTGCAGATGTTGAGAATGAATAGCATGTGAACAAATAAAATCGTCAACTAAAAAAGTACCTATTTTTTGGAGTTTATGTTTTTTCTCACCTTGAAGATAATCCGAAATACTTCTTTTACAGCAAAACCATTTTAAAAAACTGATAAATTCGTAGCTGCTGAAATCAGTAATAGCTTTGGAAATGAAAAATATCGGTTCTGTTTTTTAAGTCAAGCTATTTTTTCATGACCCTGAAGATTGCCGATTTCGTACAGAAAAAACATTTTCCGTACTGCTCTTCATTTTTCCTCATCCGGGGATTGGTATTAGCTCTTCCCCAAACTCGTAAAAGTGAAAATCACTACAGAAAAATTTCCTTCACGACTAGTGCCATGGGTTTTTTTTTCGCGTAGTTAGCCAGTCCTCGCCTTCGGCTCAGACGTCAACTCCGTGGCATCCAGGGATCCCCATCAATATTAAATTTCTGTAATATTACACAGATTTGACCCTTACATTATTGGAGGTTTAAAATATGTTGATTCAATTTTTCCAATAATATAATATTAATAATCTGATTTTTTACGAATAATGACATATTTAAAATTTGTTAATATGCAACTGTAAATTTACTACTAAGTGAATATTTCAAATTTTTTGAAAGGGGATTTTCGATTACACAAGTAATCGTCAATCTTCCTACCTCAAATTATTGATTGCTAAAATAGTTAAAAATTTGAATTTTTGAATTGATGATATTTAATTACTCAAAAAATTACAAGGTTGATGTTTTTCAATTTAAGGGCTCCAAAAGTAATCGTAATAAAATATTACAAATTTGGCTATCCCTGGTGGCATCCCATGAGATCAGTTCTTAAATATACTGTTAGCACTGCATATTTGCCTAGAAAATGATGGAATTTGAAAAAAATCGGAACCAACAGGTTCGGTATGAGTTTCATTAATCGTAATGATCGCTGAATATGTCCTCATCTAAATTACATGGTCAGTACAGGCCAGGGACTGGAAACGCGTTGTCGTTATAAATAATAACGTTATTGCGGGAAACGAAACTGGAAACGAAAGTCGAATAACGTTATTGCCGGAAAAAAAATTGGAAAAGAAAGTCAAATAACGTTATTGCCGGAAACGAAACTGGAAACGAAAGTCGAATAACGTTATTGCCGGAAACGAAACTGGAAAGGAAATTCGAATAACGTTATTGTGGGAAACGAAACTGGAAACGAAAGTCAAATAACGTTATTGCGGGAAACGAAACTGGAAACGAAAGTTCAATCACATGAAAACAAGTGGGAAATTGCTCAAGATATTTTTGTCACAATCTTTTTTTCGGTTTGCACGAAGAAACCTTGGAGATTAGCGTAAAGAAGAAGATTAGCCATGTTCATTGGAAGAAAAACATAGACCCTCATAAAATCCTCATATGACGCCCATAGAAATTTTAGAAAACACCCATTGGACCACCATATAACCCACATAAAACCACATAACATAAAATTACCATAAGACCCATGAAACCCTTATAAACCCCCCATATAACCTTTATAAAACCCCACTAAAACCCCATAAGACTCCCATATGACCCCTACAGGACCCCCATAATCTTCGAGAGACCCCCATGAAAGGAAAATTTTGAAAAATTTGAAAATTTTCAAAAATTTTGAAAGTTTTGAAAAATTTGACTGTTGTGAAAATTTTTGAAAATTTTGAAAATTTTTGAGAATTTTGAAAGTTTTGAAAAACCTCATGAAATTCGATAGATCCGTAATAAGAAAATACGTACATAGATACATACATACATAAGCGAATTGGCCAATTCTGTATACGAAAAATTGCCCCAAAATTTTAAAAGTTTGTTGATATTTTTTATCGGAAATAATAGTCTAAAAAAAGAAAAAAACACAAACAAAGTTCTCTAACTCAATGATTGGTAGAGATATTGAAGACTGAATTTTTTTTTCTTTTAAAAACTTTTTTTTTCCAACTCTAATTACAACCCATTAAGAATTAAGAAAAAATTGAACCAATTATATTTGTCAGAAATTTTCTCAACTTTTAGAACAAAATATTATGTTTTATGTATTCATGTATTCTGGTATGAAAAACTCAAAAAGAAACGGTCATTTAACGAGGCGCTGGTCACTTCTCAATCGAGTGGCTCAGAGATTTCCATAATGAGATGATTTCCTGTGATTTATTGAATGATTTTTGTGATTTCTTAATAAGAATTGGAAATCATGATTTCTTTTAATTTTTTGCGATCCCATGACTTCTAGTAGATTCTGATGATTTCTTAATTTCGAGGAATCACTCGAGAAAGAGTTGATAAGGCAGGGCCTTATCAACTCTTGCCGATGACTACAGTAGGGTACGAGAATAATTCGGTGAACTTTGGTGGATTAGAGGTTCGTTATCCCCAGGAGTGTATTTTCATCAGGGAAGAGGGAAAACTATCCTGGGATAGACCAGCAGAAGGAGATTCCAATCGTACTGACAAGGAACCCTACGCGGGTGACCCCCTCCGATTTCGATGAAACTTAAATATGTTATAGGGGACCCAAAACTAAGGGATACGTATGTTTTTTAGCTGCCCATATTGGGTTTTAGGGGGTGAAAGTGCTTTCTGAAGTTGACCACCTCTCGGGGTCATTTTTCGATTGCACACATAAGGAAGCTTTTTGAACAACTCTTTCGCAGTGTATGATGAAGGTCACAAGGAATGATGAAAATGCGAATTAGAACCGTCTCCGGGGGGGTGAAATATGGAGGGTAAACTACCCTTGTGAAAAATCATTTTTCTCATAGAAAAAAAACTTTTGATGGAAATCCCATGGGATAAATTCCATTTGAAAAAGTAGAAAAAAATACAGAATACCTGTTTTGATTTTTTTTTTAATCAAAATTTAAAACTTAAAAAAATAGATTTTTCGTGAATGACGAAATTTCAAACTTTTTCCTGTACAAAACGAAGCTTACGGCTGATGATGATGAAAACCATTGGGACAGGATCCAGGAGTGGTGTCGAGGAGGTTAACTACCCTTGGGAGGAGGGGGGGGGGGAATTTTTTTTAATAGGGGAGAAAAAATATCGATGAGAATTTTACGAAACACATTTCGTTCGAAAGCATGAGACAATTTAAAGCACATATTTAGGATTTTTCCGCAAATTAGAATTTTAAGGTAAGAAACATCGATTCTTTGAAAAATTATGGGTTTTAAATTGTTTGTTATAATAGATTGATCTTACACGGAATGATAAGTGAAACAATTGAAATAGTCTTCGGGAGTGAAACTTGAGGGCTTAACAATCCTCATGGTATTTTATC